CCTTCAAAACTTTCCTTGTTTTGTATCTTCATGGTAATGATTTTTTTGTGGGGTGCATGCACCCCCTCCTGAGAGCCCCGCACCCCTCCCTGAGAAAAATCCTGAATCCGCCCTTGGAAGAATCATAAATTTTAGGGATTTTTTTTCAGTACAATCTCGAAATAACTTTCCTCCCTCCATTCGCAGAGTCCAAAATTCGTTCCTCAATCACCGGACGCGTCCACAATGAAGAAGACGACGAAGAACGAGGAGATGATACACAAAAACATTTGAATTTTATCCTTGAAACTGTTGATAAAATCGACTTTTTAAGTGCGCGAGATTGCCGTGCTCCTGAAGTACTTAACTTCTTGCGAGGAATGGACCTGGAGTTTAACCCTCAAGGTATGACAGGAACGTTTAGAGGAAAACTTATCTTTTTGGTTTCTGTTACTTTCTGCTTTCATTATATAGAGGGTGTTACAAACGAGTGAGAGATTTTTAAAGGCCCAGTGTGCACCATTATACTTTGAAGGCCGCGAGGGCCAGGAGGCGGCCATTTTCGATAAATCTTTATAAAATTTTTGATATATAACGCGCGCTCTGATTGGCTGACGACCGTGTTTATATCAGAGGACAGAGACACGGCTTACCCGCAAAATTTTCTTTTCGCTCGAAAAATTTTATAAAAGAAATATAAAACGGCCGCTTGTCCTAAGCTTGCTTCTCTCGTGTTTTTCGAACTCCCACCGTGTTTATATCAGAGGACAGAGACACGCGCACCGTTTTATATTTCTTAAATAAATATATCTATAAATTGTACTGTGTGTTTCGAATCTTTCACAATTTCCCTTTTCTAAGCACTCTAAACGCTAATATAAGAGTTTTAGTCAACCATCTGAAATTCGTTTTATGGTGATATTTGGATACTAGAAGTATTTTTGGTGTAAATCATAACTATAACAGAGGCGCGCAAAGCATAATGGTGCAAAGTGGGCCTTTGACAGGAGTGACCATACAATATTCTTTTTATCATATAATTATATATACCTATATTTCAAAATTGTCGAACGGCGATTGCACGACTGAAAGTAGTCATGAGGAATAAAAACTGATTTATACGGTGAGATAGTCTGAAGTAAAATACCAAATGATTTAATGCATTTTTTAAACACACAGATCATACCAAGGAAGAAATTGCATCCAGGAAGGAAATCGCTTCATCTCAAAGAAAACGATTGATGTTCGCCGATGGTGGAATAGCTTTCAACAGCCCTTATCCTTTGCTGCTTCGGACAGACAGACAGGTTGACTTGTTTCTGTCTTTTGAATACAGTGGAAGGAGGAAAGACGACTTCCCTCTTTTTACGGTATTAGTCATTTTACATTGTAAACTCCTTCCTTTTTTTCAGTCATTAATTCGTTTGTTTTTAAGTGTAAGATCGAGTCAGTTGCTTGCTTCTTTGTAAACTGAATAGACTTCTGAACCTTTTACGTCACTACTTGATTTGCAATGCATTGTGGGATTAGCTTGTAGAGAAAACAATAGAAATCCGCCATTTTCTGTCCCAAACATATCCTACAATGCATTGCGTATACGGTACATGACGTAAAAGCTTCAGAGGTCTATTTGGTCATTCATCAATCCCTTTTTATCTATTCATTTCATTTGACTAATTTTCCGTTCATTTATTGATTTTAATTAACTTTGTCACTCCAAATACTGCTTTCCTTTAAGTGTTGACTGTACGGAGCTCAGTGGTTTAGTCACTCTGAAAGCATGTAAACGAAAAGACGTTTTAGTGAATTTAAATTTTAGTCTCCCGTATCAGTATTCAGTATTCAACTTTTTCTGAAATAGTTATTTTGATATGTAGGAATTAGTTATAGCTGAGCAGTGGGCAAAGAAGCATAACTACCCCTTCCCTCCCATAAACCACGAGGAGCAATTCAAGAAGTACGGACCAAGGGAATACTATGTCTTCAAAGATGACAATGATCCATCATGTCCTGTTGTCATTCACTTTCCTTTGGTGAACAATCTTTTCAAGACCTTCAAAGCACCAGGTTAGAATAACGTCTTTGTTTTCCGAAGAATTGAACGAAACCTCTTCCCTCCCCTCTCCCAGGATACTACTTCATTTCGCACAGAAACTTTGTTCTTAGTATACATTTTAAGAATCGGTCCGCCATCTTGATATTTTTTTCAAGACCATAATGTACCTCACCTCAAGAATACATGATGTCATAAGTTGGAATAAACGTGTTCTCCGTCCCTCAACTTATTATGTCCCCATTCTGATCTATTTCTGAGCATGACGTCACTTCCACTGTCCCATGTCTACGCAAATGAACTTGAGTTTACAGATGTAGACTGGGGAGAAGGCTAATTCTTTGTTAATCTTTCTGTAGGTGTTCGACGTGTCACTCCAAAAGAGCTCGAAGCGGGTAAATTGTCGATATTTGAGGATCACAAAAAGCCGTACAACTTATTTAGATTTCATTACGGAAACGAAACTTTCGACCGCCTGGTAGAGCTGTCTAACTTCAACGTGAAAGTTTGCAAGGATGTCATTTGGGATGAATTGGCGAAATGTGTCGAGAAGAAACGACAGTGAATATTTTTAAATGTAATAATGTAATAAAATAATGCATCGATTGAAACCACGGTCCCCAACACCTGTGGAATACCAACCTTGTTGAAGTTACGACAATTTCATGGCTACTTTTAAAAAGAAGATTTGATTTTGATTTTTTTTTTAAAGAAGATCTTTGATTTAGACGTAAATTCGATTCCCCGGCCACCTCGTTGATGGATGTTCATATAAAAACAGTGTTATTAAATCCCCGGTATACCCCGGGTATTATGGGACCGCTGTTTCTATTGAATAATGCATAAAATAGGAAGATACAATATTTGCACTAAAATCTCTGTTGACCAATGAACCGCGTCTTTCGCGCGAAAATTGTCAGACATTCTTTCTAAATCCATGTTCCTTAAAGGAATTTATTTTAGTCAATTATTAAGTAATATAGACTCTAAAACATTAAATACCCCAATGTATTTGAATTTAAAGTGGTTAAAACTGATTTTAAGCTGCTAGAAATTAATGCTTAATCACACAGAAATTTTTGCGAGTGGGGAAAGACGCCGCCATGTTAGGTCGAGAGGTCAAGCTCGTTCTTTCTCCCACGCCGGTGAAAATTCTGTGTTTATTACATTATCAATCTTCAGAGTTCGGATTGTTTTGTCTAGAATTATTGTTTAAGTCCGATACTTTACGATGTTAGAATACCTAACTTCACAGTAATTAATGTTTGTTTACTAATGCTAACACCGTACAAAATGTGATTAAAAAATTTGCTCTGGTTCAAAATATCGCGCTTTTTGGGCTTTTTTCTGTTCGCGCTAAGGAACACAGGAAAGCAACTATAAATCTTTAAGATGAATTGTCGACGCCTTGAAATTGAACAACTTTAATATCATTACAAAGTGACGATATGTTTTTACACAGGAGATTTTTTTCAAATAGATAGAATTAAAAGCATTGAGGTGATAATAATCATGATATTAAGTTCGACCTTAGTGAATTTGTGTATCAGTTTCTAACATTGTACAGATAGCATTTACTCTTCTTCTTCTTCTTCCTCTTCTTCGGCCGCTTCATCTTTCGGTTCTGCAAATGGCGATGGTTTGGGCGCGCTTTTTTCCACTGTGACCTCCTCGACAAGGTCTCCCATGGCTTTCATTTCATCCTCGACTTCCTTTCTCTTTATCTTCAGGTTGTCCATGTCCTCCATCATGGCGAAGATGAGGTTCTCGAGTGGCGGAGCTTTTCGCTCGGCCTCTTCGTAGCGGTAGACCATTGCTTTCAACTCGTCCTGCATAAAGGCGACTTTTTCCTCTCCTTCGATTTCTCTCTCACAAGCTTCAGCGTCTTTCTCCTCTAGGCTCGCCATTGTTTCTACGTTTCCAGTAAGTTGATCCTCCATCATGCTCGAGATGTTTTCAAACTTTTCGGCTCGTTGAAGCGCCTTCTCCAGCTCATTTTGTGTGACTTTAAATTTTAGTTCAACTTCAGCGACCTTGAATACAAAATATGGAGTAATTAAAATCCAATTTTCAACTGTTAAACTAGTGGAGAAACAGTGCGGTGAAAATGTTAAACCCGTAAAAAGCAAAATTCTGACAAGTTGTAAAGTCCAGTTGGCGCAAAAAGATATCATGTATTTTAGAGACTATAATTAAGTGTATTATATTAGTACTGATAACATCTGTTTCACTGGTTTATGGAACCACTCTTTTGTAAACGTTTTTCTTTTATTTAACATTTTCGATCATTGCATTTTGTTTCGCTGGTTTTAATAAGCAGTTTTCACTGAAAACATATCCAAAATGAGAACGCAAGCGTGTTGCTGGTGATACAGAGTGAAAACCAAACAACCGCGAAACAAAATATAGTGGGCAAGTGTGATAATACGAATAAATAGTGGCTTACTATATAACTTGATGATAAAATTGAGCGATAAAAAACTGTTTTTTAGAAAAAACATTTTAATGAACGACGTTTCGACGTTAACATAACGTCATTTTCAAGTAAAAGGGGAATGGAAATTACAAGATGCTCATATATAGGAATAAAACAATAGGAGCTAATTTACAATTAAAAATCATCAAGTGTGATAATTCAATAAAAAAACCGTGAAATACAATTAAGCGTGTTTCGCAAATTGAGTTCCACTCAAATTGGATTTCTTTTTCCCGCAAATTCTATTTCTATATTTTTGAAATATTAAAGGTTGGGCTTGCAACCCTGTAAGCACCCCCTGGATCCGACACAGGATTTACTCGGGGATAACTTATATAATAATGTCAATAATGTTATAAAAAATAAAAATATAAAAATTGAAATTCGAATCACCTTGGTTTGAACGTCCTTATCGCGTATGTCGGTCTCTTCAACGAGATCCTCCATTTCATGCATTTTTTCATCGCTCTCTCTGTCTGTGATTTCCAAGCTCTTACACTGCTCTTCCTCGCTCTTAGATCTTCTTTCCATTCCATCTAACTCTTGCACCTTAACTTCCAAAGCAGCCCTGACTTTCTTATCTTCGATTTGTACAAGTTGAATTCGACGCTTGAAGGAATCGACCTCACCCAGTGCTTTCTCGAGCCGTTCCTCGGCCTCCCTTAATTTTTCCTTAGCTTCGAGCTCACGGTCCTCTGTCTGGTCGATTTTCTCTTTAATTGCATTTAGTTTGGCCTTTACTTTGGCCAAGTGCTCGGCTGAGGTCATGATTATTGATTTTTTTGTGGAAAAAGGCGAACAGTAGTAAGCAGAACAGCTTTAGAAGACCTTACTCCGACTTGATGCTATCCAAGTGCGCGCGTCTGTGTGTCAGTATAGTGATTTTGGGCCAATAAGAGGGTGTGATCAAAATGTTCGCATTTTATACATTACAACACTTGACAGTGCTTTTAAACCTGTAACTATTTCTTGTTGATCTGGTCACTTTTTCAACAAAATAATTTGATGTTTCTATAATTTCAATATTGATCTGTGTTAATAAATGAAGTTTGTGATGGTTATGAATGATTTTGGGATTATATTTTGCTACAGATGAATGTTGGAAAATGTTTGGATGTCTGATATGGGCACCAGAGCACAACCACGTGTCACGCGATCTTTACGGCCGCGTGATGATGTCACGTAAGGCAATTAATCCTTTTTATTCATATATTTTTTATTCGTCGATAAAAATAATATTTTGATTTGCTTATTTAATCAATTATTCTATTTTAATCATTTTGCCTTTTTGTCCTTTCTTTTTCTTTGTTTCATTTGCATAATTATTTATTTTAAAGCTATACTTTTTTAAAAATTAACTTTCAATTGCTATTTATCCTGGATATTTTTATTTTGCTATTTATCCTATGACAATCAATCAATTATTTAATTAATCAAAACATTTAACCCATTAAGTTCGTTTATGCTGATTGGGTTTCCTGTGTAGATCTTTATACCACAGGGATCCCAAAACCAAAATTCATTCGAAACTTTGAATAGAATGGAATCAACAAGCGTAAAACTTAAAGACCTTAAATACGGCTGGGGACGTTTTAGACCGAAATATTTGCAATGGCTCAATAGTTCAAGATGGTTTTTATTTTTCTTAACATCAGCTTCTCTGCTTTCTGGTAAGTTATAAAAAATTTGAACAACTTTTTTTGCGCGAAATGCAGATAGAACAATGCTGGCCGATGCAGGCCATTTTGCATACAGGAACGACGACTCTATTCCAGTTGAACACTTAATAGGTATAAAGCAGCTTTAAGAATATTTTTGAGTTCTTCTTTAAGAAGTTTCCATTTGTTTTGAACTGAATATGTTGAGCTTTATGATGAAAATTTCACGATAATTTTGGAATGGTGATAGCCGAATGGGAATATTTCTTCAATGGAACTAGTGAAAAATAAGTATTTCAGAAATAATTCAAAATAAGGAAAAGTGAAATTAGATTGTAAGCAAATCTGACTTTAATATCTATTCTATCAATATTTACAGAATATAAACAATTTTAATTTTAAATTAAAAACATTTTAAGCACAGTCTAAAATATTTTAGCTTAAGCTTAAGAGTATGTCAGAGTGAATTACAAAACACGTGAAATAGATATTACACTAATACACCTCAAACAATCTAATTGCATTGTTTTCTTTTATATGTCTCTTTGACTTTTACACTTAAATAGTTACATTTTGTCTGAAAGGTTAAGACATCTCCCTTAGTATAGTGTTTTTGCACTAATTAATTATAATTTGACTGTTCAACATTGATTGAAATGCTGCTCTATATCCACGATTTTTTGTGTTTTTTTTTTATTCTTAAGGAATAGTGCAGATTGGTATCCGTGTTGTCATTCTTCCATCAATCGAGCGTCGCTATCATTTGAGCAGTAAGGAGATTGGATCATTATCGGCTGTTGGCAATGTGGCTGGCTTCATAGCAACAATTTTAACCAGTTATATTGGTGGCTATGGCAACAAAGTTAGATGGATGGGGTGTGGTCTTCTCGTTAAAGGTCAGTTGTTCTGTCAACTAATGTAAGGTTTTCATTCATTCATTCATTTTTTCATGTCCCCTCTCCCTCATTATTTCAATGATTTTTACAATCTTTATTAAGGCAAGCTTAATCACAAACATTTGGTTTTCAAGGTCTTGGATGTCTTCTCCATTCCCTTCCTCATTTTATCTCAATAAAATATCGACCAGAAAACCTGGCACTAGCATTCAAAGAACAAGAACTATGCTCGTCTAACAGAACACTGTCATCGCAATCATTCTGTGCAACTGCAAGCGATGGCCACTCGTGGTATTATTTCATGATGTTCTTGCTGGCAGAGGTGTTGATCATGTCAGGAGGGGCGCCAACTGTACCCCTTGGCCATGCCTTCATGGATGAAAATGTACACCCCAAACAGTTTCCAGTTTATCTAGGTGTATTTTTGACACTGAGTGCTCTTGGTGTTGGCATTGGACAGATGCTTGGTGGTGTTTTGTTGAGTACTTATGTGGACATTGATTTGGTGAGTTAAACAATATATTGATTTTTCTGAATAATACTTGAATAGTGATCTTAAATTTCAGGCCTTATTTTGACTATGACCTTTCATGTCATAATATTTTCACGTATCAAGAATACTCATTGAATCTTACTCACAATTTTCCATAATAAGGTTCAGTGACCTTAAACAAAGTATTGAACCCAAGTGTCAAAGGTACTGTGAGCATAACCTGAATAATCAGGTTCTCTAAAAAAAAGAAACAGAAGGGAAAGAAAGGGGAGAAACTTTTTTCCCTTCCACCTCTACCAAATGATCCCTCGAAAACCTGATTCTCAGGCTACAGTGAGCATATAAAAGAAAATGTCTGTGCTAATTGTTCCTTCCAGTGCTTTGTTCCAAGGTCACTGTCTCTTGGTAAGGAAAGTTGAGAACAACAATTTTTTTTGAAGTCTCTTTGATCATTTCCTTAACACAAAATTATTTTTGTTACAGCCTTTAGGGCTAGAGAACATGAAGCCTGATGATCCAAGGTGGATAGGGGCCTGGTGGCTAGGGTATTTTGTAAGTGGTTGGATGACACTAATACTGGCGCTATTCATTAGTGGTTTCCCATCATCATTACCACACTCCAAGGAGGTCCGTGAAGACATCATCAGTCGTGGTGATCTTCCTATGAGAGATGAAATTAAAGGTAATTTAGTTAA